CCAGCTGAGAAAGTTAACCAGAAGCATGTGCTGGTAGCAATTAGCAAAACATTTAGCATTGAAACTGCAAATGGAATTTGAAAGAGACATCAAACTAAACTTAACCAAGTTCCCATTACAGGTTTTAAGATCACTGCGATTAATTGCTAATAGTATATTTGTTGCCTAAGGTAGTGTTAAACATTCTAGCAAAATGTCAAAAGTAATTTGCCAAATACTTATTTTTTTTCTTTTTGCAAAAAAGCCAAATGGATTTTGAAAATGGGATAAGATAAAAACTTAAAAATTTGAGGAATAAAAATACTGTTATAATTTCACATGGTAATCTATCCTGAAGGGAAGATTTCTATTTCTGCTTTGTTTTTAACCTAACTGAACAGTAGTAAAGCCCTGTACTCTCCGTCAGTATGTTGGTAGGATAAAAAAAAACAAGTCCTTAATGAGGTGGCAAAAAAACAACCAAAATATATTTTTAAAACTTCTTAGTGTAAAATCCCTACTTCTTTAATCTATTTATGGAAATTACTGAGCACATTGTTTGCTTACTCTAACATTTTTCATTGTTTGAAAGGAGAATATGATGTAAAAAGTCCCTGAGCTGTGACTAAAGTCCCTGAGTACAAATCTGTTAGTCGGCATTATAAAAGGAAATCTGCGTCTTGCTATACACTGCAGAAATTAGCAAGATGTGGGCTTTCTGAAATGTGCCTTCAACTAAAAAAGACGAGGTAAACAACTTTAAAGACCATATGATGAAACTGCTGAGACGCTTTTTTTTTCTTCCTGTTGTTGCAAAACAAACCATCATAGCAGTTACACTGAACTTATCAACAAACCACAGAGAACTAAGAAATTGAATAAAATCAGAAGATGATTTTGAAAAGCCCCAGGAAACACGTCCACTGTGCTTTTTCTTTATTCGGGGGCTTATTCTAAGAGGCCTGAATTTTGTGGTGAGCTAAAAAGTGAAGGGTACAGATATGCTGGTTTTGGCTGCTTTAAGTAGGCCTGGCTTGCATGTGGCTAGAAGCAACCACTGCCCTGGCAAACTATTTGGAAATACCATGCATCAAACAGTAATACGGGCAATATAACACATTACTTCCAGTCTAGAGGTTTTTGTTCGCCTTGAACTAATTGTTCTGACTAAATACAAGGGGAAATTTGGAAACATTACATCTATGGATGGTACATATGGATCTAAATAAAGCAAACAGTTTTGTTCTACTATATCTTTAGGTTTTCTTTTATTGTTTTCACAGGGGAAAAAATGTCTGGAACACTATGAAGCCACGCTGAGTCACTGATTAATCTTTTGACCTCGAAGCGGGAAACAAAAGCACTGCCTACCAACACATACATTTTCATGAGGGACTTAGCCAATTTACACATTAACTATGTATACACTATTAGAGAAGACTGACTCACCCCACACTTTGACCAACATTCACCTCTGGCCTTCATGTTAGCCATTCATATCCAATTCACTTTCTTGTTGTTTTCTTTTTGACTATTTTGGCTGTGTTGATAATATAACATGAAATGTCACCCATTTCACCATTTCAAACTCTTTTTTTTTGGCTCAGGATACTTTATCAATGATTCACATAATTTAGAGGAAAAACCTTCATACTAAAACCCAGCTTTTAAAACGTTTTCTTCTTAAACTTATTTCTTTGACCAAATTATTTTGTACTTACAGGCTAAGGATATAATTTCTTTAGTTATTCATAATTTAAATTTTCCAAATATGGTATATGATTGCTTACTACTAAATAATGAAGCATGGAGTTGCAAAATCTGCATATAGATGAAAATTAAGGAAATAGTTCAGCTTGTGTGTGGAGAAAACAAGGTATGTTCTTGAAATTCCAGCAAGTTAATTTTGCCCATTCACAAAATTAAAAATCTATATTCTAAGTTACTTTTTTGTGCCACTTAATCTAGAGCAGTAAGTAACAGTTATCAGAATATATATACACTATATTGCCAAAAGTATTTG